GTGGCTACCGTCAGATTGACGAAAAGTCCCATGGTACGATCAGGTAAAGGTTATCGTGTCACTGTTTTCCATGCCAAAACCTGTGATCTGGGGCTTATTTATAGATTTGAGCTAGCTTCCGAGGCAAAAAGAAAACTGATTGGGCAGTAGCTGAAGTTCCACCCAATCTAAAGAACCCCAGTGTCATTGTCATGGATAATGCCAGTTATCATAACGCCCTGGGAACCAGATACTCTCGTGACAACCATTATTAGGCTGAAGACAACCATGCAGGAATATTTGATATCTTGCAATGTCAACTTCAGATGTCTTACGTACACCAGTCAGACATTGTGAGCTCATCCCCATTGAGCTTATCTGGGCTAACTGTAAAGGGTTCATGGCAAGACTTAACACAACATTCAAACTCACACATGTCAGGATTGAGCGACAGCCCCTGCTAGAATCACACCAGAGGTATAGCAAAAGTAAAGCATATTCCAGTGAAGTACAATACTTTGAGACCAACCCCAACTCAGGTGAGGTTTGCACCTGTGAGAATGCACTGGCGTTGTTAGGTAATTACCTTGGGCTAGAGGCTGTTTCATAGATGCATGACAACACACAAATAAGTTGTCATTTTACCTGTAAAAGTACCTTTTTATGCTAATCCCAGTACCAGTTGGTACAGGCTAGATTAGGTAGACTTGCGTTATTTTGAAATATGCTATTTCCAGAGCCCTATGATTTGTATTTATTAAATGTAGCCAGAAAAGCATTTTTCTTGCATTTCCAACAGTACTTTAGTTGATGAGACATCCCTCCATGAGGCTCTCATATCATTGCAATGATCTCCCTTGTCTTGCAGCATGTGAATAGACTGCCCAGCAACGATCTGCCCGACATCACCAGCCCACAGCCCATGTCTCAAGGTGTACCGTTCCAGCTCATAAAAAATTCAATAAAGTTAAAACTAAAATGAACATAGGCATATCATTGTATCAGCGTATAGTGCTAACAATCACACAAGGCTGGTTAAGAGCCACTATTCTCTTTACCAGACCAGCCAATCAGGAGATACAATACACGTTACCAGGGGAGACAACTCTCGACAGCATGTCGGGGGGGGACAACTCCTGGTAGCATGGGTAACCTAGATATGGAGATGCTGTTTAGGTGTGATCTAATAGATGATGAATGTTTGTGTCTGTACTGGTGTATGCTGGAAGTGATGGTAGTCGGAGCTGAGGTGTTGTGACATGCATGTACGAGTGTCTTGGGTTGGTGAAGCAATAATATCTACGTGATGTTTCTGGATTTCAGAAGATTTTAAGTAAGTTTGTGATGATTTTATATAAGAAAGCATATTTTCATGTGAGATGAACAGGCTACATAATGGAAAGAAACGAGAATGATGTTGAGCTAGCTTTTAAATTTTCTGAAATTCAGAACTTGCTTTTATGTTTTCTAGGTGTTGTACGATTCAGTGGGAAAAGGGTGGATATATCGGTGTTTTCATTTAAACAAAAATATGTTCAACATCTTAAGAATTTAACATGGAGACTGTGATTTGGTTTTAGATAATTAAGATGCTGTATTTTGATTGGGGTTAATTATGTAATGTTAGTTTGATCTTTTGAAATTCCAACTGGGGCAGCAAGAGATTATTATTTTCATTAAACATCAAGGCATTATATGTATATTTGTTGTAATATAGGACAGTTGTGAGCAATGCAGTTTGTCAGCTGACAGAGGCTCAATGTTTATATGGATATCCCTTGTTGTAATGGTTATGCTATTTTTCAGGGCATTATCATTTGCAGAAGCCTGAGGTCTTCCATTAACTGCCCGACGAAGGAGGGCAGTTGAAAAGACTGAGGGCTTCTGTAAATGATAATGCCATGAAAAATAGCGTTACCGTTATTATAGCTAAAATGGATGGAATTTTTTATCAAATAAAAAGAAACAACAATATCGGGTTTGAAACATATACTGCAATCAACACGAATGTCACTGAACCACTTTTACAAATATGGAAACGTCATAGAACAAACCAGATGACGTTAGTTTTGAACCTGACGTCACCTAACAACGGACATGATAATTGCCCGTCGTCAAGCAATATGAGCGCATTATCAAGTTACACTGGCCCGCTCATTTCTGATAACATGCGGGCGGTTTAATGATAATTCTATCCATTTTAGCTATAAAGCTCATTAACAGGTTACTGCAGGTACCAGCTACGTGTTGAAACATACTGAACACTTGTTATTGTGTTGTGTTTTTTTGTGTAAAATGTTTAATTTTCAAAAGTAATTAAAGGATGGTAGTTTGATTTTACACCAGTAAGCAGGAATATGAATTTATCAAACAAATGTAGGATTACTGATTGTCACTGAATGATTCTTTATAGCCATGTTGGTCACATCCCTGACTACTGTAAAGATGGAAATAAGTGATTGTTAGGCTGCTTGGGAGGTGGAAATGGTTATTGTTGAGCTTGTAAATCATCCACACTAGTACACAGAGTAGTTTCAGATTTGACTCTTATTGTAGATACCTATAAACATAGTCTGGAATTTCTCTTATGTTTGCAAAGAAATGTCGTTGATTTTCTGCTATACATGCAGGTTTGATTTGTTAACATTGCTGATCATTATTTCTGTTCATGATGTGTTCCATGTAAAACTTCCTCAATACATACATGGTCAAAACCATTCACTGACAAACACAGCTGTCAATGTCCCATCTTGTGTATAAGTATCAATTAATGTTGGTGTTTACAAGAATGAAAGGAATCCTGACCAAAGCCATTGATGTTGATTGCAATGTTCATGTAAACATTTTAAGACACTGGTGGTTGTTTCAGTTTCTGTGTGTATATATATGTTGGGAGATGTGTGTGAAGCCGCTTGGCTACACAGCTATGCCATTCATGCTGCTGTACATGGGCAGTTCATTTTGGATGGAATCACGCAAATCATTCTTACATTGTATAAACCATCTCACTCTGTAGTCCTGTGGTATTTATCATGTATCATCTGTAAATAAAATTTGAGTTATCTTTACAAAATATTGTGCTTTTTCTGTTTTGTTAATAGGTAAAATGTTAATAGGATGTTGTTTTCTGTGGCTCAACTGGTGTGCTCTAAGAGCTGCATCACTTCGGTATTCCTCCCGCATGAAGAGGCAGTTGTCTAGGCCCTGCAATTCGCTGTGCATAGTTGTGTCTTTTGGGCATGCCGGATACCTACCATCATGGGTTTGAAACCTCGTTCAACCCAATTATGTTTCTAGATTTGTCAGCACCATACCTGTGCTCATGTTTTTCACTTCATGCTTTCCTCCCACATTAAGATGACACATGAAAATCCATGTTAGAATAGGTCTTCAGCAATCCATGCTTCCTGTAAAAGGCCATAAGAGGCGACTAACGGGATCGGGTGGTCAGACTTGCTGACTTGGTTGATGCATGTCATCGTATCCCAATTGCGTGGATCGATGATGTCAATCACTGGATTGTCTGGTCCAGACTTGGCTATTTACAGACCACCCTCATATAGCTAGAATATTGCTGAGTGCAGTGTTAGACAACAAACCAAACCAAACCATTAAGATGACCCTCAGCTGAACTGGGGCGGTCGGGTAGCCTAGTGGTTAAAGCGTTAGCCCGTCACGCCGAAGACCCGGGTTTGATTCCCGACATGGGTACAATGTGTGAAGCCCATTTCTGGTGTCCCCCGCCATGATATTGCTGGAATATTGCTAAAAGCGGCGTAAAACCTCGCTCACTTACTCAGCTGAACTGCTTGAACTGGGATACTGTTGAAAACAGTGCTAAACCCAAGACACTCAATCACACATCATTGATCCAGCTGACTCTGAAATACTGTTAAAAGTTGCACTGATTCAATCTCACTCACTACATATTTTGGAAATGAGAGTTCAACTCAAGTTCCTGCAGGGTTTCTTGTGTTGAGATTGCAGTTGGTGACTTGAAGTTGAAAGTGTTGCCTGTTGTAATGAAGCAGTCGTTTATCCTTGAGCAGTTATCTTTAAGAACAAGTAATCACTTGATAAAGATGTTAGAATCTAACATTTCAGTGTCTCAATTGTAATGAAGTTCCTTAAATCTACGACTACACGTTACCTAGAGAAGTGAAATACATGTAGATGGAACAGGCTTTCTGTACTGAGTCGTTGGTCTTAAAAAACAATTAAAACTACGAATAAGTAAAACAACTACTAGTATTTCACGGAAGCTTTCAAATTGGATTTTCCTTTGGAAGATCTATTTGATCATTGTCTTGTTTGGTGCACAGGACCTTGTGATCAGATAATGTTTTCTGTCCGCTTGAGAGAAAAACCCAAATTGATATTGGTCTTATATGTCTCACGTTTACCACTTTGTTGATGGTGAGACCGCCTCCGTGGTCTTGTGGTAGAGCGTCCGCCCGGAGAGCGGAAGGTCCAGGGTTCGATCCCGGGCCGCGTCATACAAAAAGACGTTAAAAGATTGTACTTGTTGTTACCCTGTCTGGCGCTCGGCATTAAGGGGCTAAAACAAGGACTGGTCGGCTCGGAGTCAGTATACTGTGTCTGAGTGGGGTATTCATGTTAAACTGCGGCATGGTATCTCAGTGAGCTAGCACTCTAAATCGGCATCAGTCCGGACTAGTACAAGCAGCCACACACACACATACACGTGCATGCACGTCGCTATATAAGTGCAATAATCTTGGACGCGACGTTAAACCCAATTTCACCTCACCTTGTTGATGGTGATGACAAACCTAGAAACCTAATCAGATCGAAAATTGGATTCAACCTCACAATCAATGGTTTCTGGTGTCCCTAAGGGACGCAAATATTGCCGTGATATAGTTTGAAGCGGCGTAAAACATCGCTCACTCACTCCCCCATATTATGTTAACGCGCCATGATAAAACTGAAGTACTGTTGAAGTCTTTTCCCCAAACCACATACCTACGAAATTTTAAGTCTGTCATCGTAGACATAAATATACATCAAAACAAAATGGTTTATTTCGTGTTTTCATACAAAACGTTTTATAATGTACACCACAAATAATATAGTATGAATATAAAAAAACGAACTGAAAAGGAGCACAAAATTGTATGGCAATGGCAAACGTTGAAATAATGTCAGTGTCTGAAATCACCCATCTTCTCGAGGCTAGGGGGGGGGGGGGGGGGTTAACTGACGATAAAAGTCCCGTTTCTACCCTTTCCGAACGAGGCTTGAATTTCGGAGTATTATTTTGGCTGGACCAACGAGTCTATGAACAGTCGAATCAAAATCGCGTAACGAAATAGACATTCGGTTCTCAAATAATATGGTGACTGCAGTGAGGATTTCGGTCGACTGCAGGATTTGTGTACCGTCAACTGGGTGTCGACAGATATTTTTCAAATCTTTTCATGTTCTTAATCAAGGTTCTCAAGTGATTTGATACACTTCAAGAGATAAGACTCGTTTTATTACAAAAAGATCTTGACTATGATCAGATCGTCTTGACTGGTCGCTACCATTTTGTGGTGCAAGTGGTGTGAGAGGTGGAATTTAGTCAATAGGAGGGACAAAGAGGGGAAATAACTCGTAATAGCCACTGTTGGCGCTATGATCGAGACACGAAATTCTAGCCAAGTTCGGCAAGGGTGGAAATTTTACTTTTATAGTCAGTTAACTAAGATGGAAATCACTGAGTCTTTCATATCTGTTAAAATGTAAACGCTTCACTTAAACACAGGGTTAAACATAACATTACAAGGATTACGAATTTCCTTAGTAGTTGAATTCATCAAAAGTCCGTAGTGGTCGTCGTCACCAGCGGGTGTGTGCATGTCAACAACGTGTTCAGTATCAGCAGCACCCCGACAAGAGGAATTTACTTTCAAAGTGTCACAGTCGGAAGTACCTCTTGAAGCATCATCTTCATCCTTGTAAGCCCCAATTGTATTGTACGTATCGTTATCGACGCCGTCCTGACTGACGCTGACAGACTCAGTGTGATCTCTCATTTCTTTGATAGAAGCGTAATTATTGTCTTTATCCTCTTCAAGCTCCTCAATGTCCAGTTCCTTTCCACTGAAGGTCATTTTGATGTCATCAGTCACCATGGAACTGGGCTCAAGTAGAGATCTACCCATGCAGCATCCTCTCATTAAGTCGAAGACCCTCTTAGTACAAACGAAGGAGACGAAAATATAAACACCTTTAACCACGCATAAAATGACGAAAATGTACTTATAGACCTCCGAGTCCACCAGAACAGACACAAGGGCAAAGAACCAGGTGATTCCTGTCAGAATGGAGAGTTGTGCATATAGACTGATGCTGGACTTCTTGCTCTTCAGCTCTTGTTGTTCCTTGGCCAGTTTCCTCATGGTAAGAGCTGTTGTTACGAAAAGACCGCCATTGATAGCCATGATGATAGCTACAGGGACCCCGACTGCTAGAAGCACAGAGAGGAAGTTGGACACGTAGCAAATGCTGGTCCCATACCCAGTGTCCAGACCATCACTTAGACTATGGTTGACTGCTACCGTTCCAGCAACGATGGCGCCAGGGATGATGATGCTGATGAAGACGTAGAGGACGTACCTCTTTCTGTTACTGTAACCGGCATGCCGTGATAGGAGGAGGTTCTTGAAGGCGACGTACGTGTGGATTGTACAGATGGACATCCAGGTGAAGGAACTCAGTAGGAAGAAATGTGTGACCATTCCAGTCACTCGGCACATCATGGGCTGTTCAACTCTTGCACTGCCTAAAGTGTATAGCAAGAGGGCTACTAGCAGTGTGAAGACGAGTCCCATTGTGTTCTTACCGGACAGAGTTCTCAGTGGTTTGTAGATGCAGTAGACAAGGAACGTCAGAAGGAGGCAGATGAGGGTTAGAGTCAGGCAGACCATCGAGACGTAGAAGAGAGTCCCCGATGACATACTTGTTGAGGAGAGGGTGACAGTCCCACCGCAAGTTGTACCATTGTCAAATATTGCTGAATAGCAGACAAAACCAGAGTTATTAGTTGAAGGCTCAAATTGACTGATATCAATAGTTTGATTGGAGCCAGTACGTTGCATGGTGTTAGTGACCTCATCATATGTGTAGTCGACATCTTGGAAGACCTTCACTCTTGGGCATTGTAGAGTGGCTGCGACGTAGAGAGGGTTGTTGAAGTCTATGATCTTACCGATGTCAAGTGTGTAGATGCTTGTAGTCTCATCTAAGGTTTCTGTGGTAAGCTTTGGGAACGTGTTGTTGTTATCGGGATCTGTCCACACTGGCTCAGCCGTGAATGTGACATTGGAGACGCCAAGTGTCACTGACCAAACTGACTCACGTAGTTCCAGAAGTGTGGATTCCATGTCGCCTATCTCGCTCTCCCAATTGATCAGGAATTTTGTGTGGAGGGAAATGTACTGAACTGTGCTGGCAGAATTTCCCGACTCTCTTTTGACATGAGCTCTGAACCGAAAAAGTCCAATAGCGAATGTATCAATGTCTAGCACAGCTTTGAGGTGGTCCTTGAGTTGGTCTGCAGTGGCGGTGAGCCATGTCTTGATGTTGTCCGGGACCACGAGGCTGGTAGTGGGCCTAAGAAGTACCTCTGAGTAGTACACCATACCTTTAGCCGACCTGATGACCGAGAAGCATGCTTCATCTCTGAGGATGCGGTCCCCAGTGCACTGTATCTGGCGGCACTCCTCCTGCAATACAATATACACATCGTATATTGAGTCAAGTTATCTTTACATTTTTGTGTTTCGTGGTGGCGAATTATTAAGTGGAAACTTTTGTCCGGACGTTTGGAGAAAATGAAATGAAAATATATATTTGTGGTAAAAGTCTGAATATGTTGTCAGGTATTAAACGTTCTTTAAACTGGTATCGCAGTTTAATATATTAATGTATTCATTTTAGTCAACCGCCTAGGTTAATTAAAACCCCCATCGTCCTTGTTTCTGTCAATCTCATTAAAATCAGATCTTAGTTCTTGCTATGCTAAACAAAGATCTGAGGACATCCAACCAATCATAGCGTCGCTTACCAGATCATGAAAGTGACAGTCGGAATGTGTTTTCTAATCATGCAACCACGAAATATTTAACACGGGGTATTCCGAACGACAGTTACGGGTTTTATGATTATATCCATACAATCTATGTGATCTATAAGCCATTCCAGAATGCAGAATGTTCTTCTTATCAGTTTTAAATTTTTTAGTCGAGAATAAATCAAATTATGTTTCGAAGCGTAGTCGCCAGTTTGAAACTAGTGTCGTAAAGCTCGAGAAAGCTGCCTTCTGATTGGCTAATGTCGATTTCTTGTCAGTCATTTCATTGGTCGGTCAAAATTCGCGAAAGGTCGTTCTGACGTGACCCGTAATGGGATGTCCTCAGATCTTTGTTAAACGGTAGCGAAAACTAAGATCTGAATTTAATGAGATTGTGTTTTTGTGCATTAACTTTGTAGCCAACGACACTGTCCATTTCTAATAAAGGAGAGAAATATTTATCTGAGGATATTTTGTAGACAATATTGATAATTATTTGGTTTCTCAGATATGTTAGAGATTAAAACCCCATCTTGCATGAATGAATGGTAATTCGAAGTGGTTCCTTTTCAAACGGCCAGTTTTCATCGTGCAGTCAAGAATGTGTGCACATTTCTATGAATTCAATAAAGACCTGTGCAGAATTAGTCGGCAATTATTAGGTTTTGTATGGATTTCTATGTTCACCAAAGTGGTTAACGTCTAAACCTGCATCACTTTGGGACTCACCCAACACCAAGCCGGCACGCCACGAAATAACAGAAATTCTGCTCAAAGCGGCGTTTAAATAATATATATTCTCACGCGAACGTGATTATGGTGTCTACTCACTGTGTTGTTGTCATATATGGTTCCTGCTGGACATTCGCAGGACAGAGCAGTCGTATGCTGTACCATCTTGATGGCCTCGGGATCCATCACTACAGAGAACGGGTAGGGCATGTCGAACGGACAACTGGGCATTGGCAGGAAATTATCGTCCAGGTCGCCATGGTTACACATATAGCAGAAGACGTTCCGGTAGGTATCCCCGAACAGATGAATCGGGGCGGAATAGCCAAGACAGCTTTTTTCTGTTGTGTCATTGTATTCCTGCCATTTGCCTGTGATGTTGCACGAAGAAGTGATCTCAATGGGCGTGTAACACTGCCTCATGTTCGAGTCTTTTGGCGGCTGAAGGAAGATGGCACAACCGATATCGTCTATGAAAGTTTGTATGATCTGAAGTGAGGTCATTCCAGGCCTCAACCAGACAAGCTGGGTACACTGGGCTTTGATTGCCCAGAGTCGGAATTCAGTATCACCGTTACACTCCGCACAGAACTGATTCCGATACAGCTCCGTCGCTGTCTCAGCAGGAACAGCTAGAGTGATGTTGCTTGGGTCTGGGCTTTCGCAAAGCTTCACCAGCTCCTCGTCAGTTCGTATTGAACATTTTTGGATTGAATGGAAAGCGAACCCTGCTTTTTTGTCATAGATGAGTTTGAAGGCGTTGCTACTGCACCGATATCGGGATGGGTGAAAATTTGGAGTTCCCAAATGTTCCAAAGCTTTGTCAGCACAACAGTCGCCATATTTATCGCACTGGTCATCACAATGGCAACCTGGGCATATGCGACAAGAACCAATATTTGTTACGCTGGATTTCGAACACATGCGGTCCTGTCCGCAGAATTTCTCATTCATATATTCAATATAGTTCTTCTCAGTTTCTGTGAATGATATGCCGTCTGCTACAGCCATCATTACTAGGGCGGTGATGCAGACGATTTGTGGGGTGATGATGCGGATCATGGTTGGCGAGGACGCTGGTCGCTGTCAACTGAAATATACGACACGTTTTGATACAGTTGTCTTTAGAGAAAATGTTCCTTGAATTGTTTTATGTGGTCGTGATTCATGGGGTCGTGGATGAATGAAGTAAAAGCATTTAGTAATAAAACAAATTCAACAGAATGACTCGAAGCAAAACTATATCAAGTATATTAAATGACATATGATAAGGATTTACTGAGAAAACATAAATCCTTCGCCAATTTTGAAGAGTGTAACATTTTAGCGACAAGCAAAGAAAATTGTCCATTAAAACAGTTTTTTTAAAATCACTTCTGAGAAGTATTCATGCTTCCATTATTTAATACTGACCAGTTTTGTAAAATGTTGTTACTTTCAGTCTTCTGAGGAGCTTCTTCGAAAAGTAGGCACACGTCTTGACACTTCGCACGTGTGTCGATAAATGAGAGAAATCACTTTCAGAATACCTTTATGCTGGTTGCCATGTTTGTGCCCCGGGGCTGACGACGTGCGGGACGTCAGTGATGCGAGTCAGGACGCGCTAGATATGCGGTCATGACGTGAGAGGTAGTGATTGGTATTAGTTGTGCAATTTGCGTACAGGGACGAACAGAAACAATTACCATCGTTCAGTTTCGGTAAATGTGTTCAGATTTAACGTCCCATTGACATTATTGCAGCCACATATCGTTAACCTCTAATATCTGTGGGTTCGAATCCCGGTTCGACCCGATTTTGTTTCTAGATTTGTCAGCATCACACCCGTCCTCGTGGGTTTCACCGAAGTGGTAAACGTCTGAGACCTGCATCACTTCGGGCTTTCCTCCCACATTAAGCTGACACGCCGCGATATAACTGGAATACTTTTAAAAGCAGCGTTAAACCCAACTCACTCACTCACTAACCTCTAATATCAAGTTGAAACGAATAAGTTTTGTTTGTAAACAAGTGTAGGACAGTCTCTCAAGTGTAAGTACTTCGGCGTATACTCGTGTGAGCATGGGCTGTATGATCCATGGCGTATACTCGTGTGAGCATGGGCTGTATGATCCATGGCGTATACTCGTATCAGCATGTGCTGTATGATCCATGGCGTATACTCGTATCAGCATGGGCTGTGTGATCCATGGCGTATACTCGTGTCAGCATGGGCTGTATGATCCATTGCGTATACTCGTGTCAGCATGGACTGTATGATCCATGGCGTATACTCGTATCAGCATGTGCTGTATGATCCATGGCGTATACTCGTGTCAGCATGGACTGTATGATCCATGGCGTATACTCGTATCAGCATGGGCTGTGTGATCTATGGCGTATACTCGTATCAGCATGGACTGTATGATCCATGGCGTATACTCGTATCAGCATGGGCTGTGTGATCTATGGCGTATACTCGTATCAGCATGTGCTGTATGATCCATGGCGTATACTCGTATCAGCATGGGCTGTATGATCCATGGCGTATACTCGTATCAGCATGGGCTGTATGATCCATGGCGTATACTCGTGTCAGCATGCGCTGTATGATCCATGGCGTATACTCGTATCAGCATGGGCTGTGTGATCTATGGCGTATACTCGTATCAGCATGGGCTGTGTGATCCATGGCGTATACTCGTATCAGCATGGGCTGTGTGATCTATGGCGTATACTCGTATCAGCATGGGCTGTGTGATCTATGGCGTATACTCGTATCAGCATGGGCTGTGTGATCCATGGCGTATACTCGTATCAGCATGGGCTGTATGATCTATGGCGTATACTCGTATCAGCATGGGCTGTGTGATCCATGGCGTATACTCGTATCAGCATGGGCTGTGTGATCCATGGCGTATACTCGTATCAGCATGGGCTGTACGATCCATGGCGTTTAATAGTGTCAGCATGGACCGTATGATATTGAAGTTAAAATGTGTCAGCATGGACCGGATGATATTGAAGTTAAAATGTTTCAGCATGGACCGTATGATATTGAAGTTAAAATGTGTCAGCATGCACCGTATGATATTGAAGTTAAAATGTGTCAGCATGGACCGGATGATATTGAAGTTAAAATGTGTCAGCATGGACCGTATGATATTGAAGTTAAAATGTGTCAGCATGGACCGTATGATATTGACGTTAGAATGTGTCAGCATGGGCCGTTTTATTTAGAAGTTAAATAATCTCAACATAGAGCTGATGATCTAGACGTTGGATACTGGCAGCATAGAGCTATGATCCACGGCGTTTAATAGAATGGACCGTATTATCTAGGCAGTTAATAGTGTCAGCATGGACCGTATGTTTTAGACGTTTGATAGTGTCAGGTAGGACCGTATGATCCACGGTGTTTAATAATGTCAGCATGGACCGTGTGCTCTACGATGTTTATTAGTGTCAGAGTTCATGGATCGTATTTTTATTTTACTTTTTTGGATAGTGTTACCAAAAAAGCGAATGATCCACGCCGTTCAATATTGTCAGCATGGAGCTGATCCACAATGTTTATGTCAGTTCAGCAGTATCGACCGTAGGATCCACGGCGTTTCATAGTTTCCCAAATTTGTGTTGAGAAACGTATGAGTAAATCGATAATTCCTAGTTGATAAGCGTGGAGCCTTGGTAATTAGTTCTACCCAGAGGAAAAAGGAAATGTGCCTATAATTCAATGTAGCTGTGTTGTAGCGATATATCTCACATTATCGCTGTAGACTAGCCAAGAGTCTAGAACGGATAACATTATTCCCTAATTTGTGGGATACAATTAAACTGCCGGGGAAAAATAAATATACACCCATACACCCATAAAAATGAATCAGAAATATAAATAAAGCGACAAAACCCTTTCCATACCCAATGGAAATCTCTGCATAAAGCAGAGTCGATTGTACGATTCCGACTATATCATGAGCATGATTTTATGAATCACTATCAAATAGCAATGATCCCAGGTGTTCGCGAAAAAGGTGAGCGTATCCTGCCCCACCGATGGCACCCGTCACAAACACATGCAAAGGTAAGCCAATTGTTCACCTGACAAATCACGGGAACATATGGTACCAGTCAAAGTAGTGACTTGCATCGGACATCATTTTTGTAATTTTCGTCAAATTTGGAATTATCCTCCACATTGTCCTACATAGGCCTTGAATGTTGTAACCTTATAATGTTAAATGTTGTAAGAAATAGTTATTCCATGGTGCTGTACATGTATTTGCTAAGGGTATCATAGTTGTGATTTGGACCTTACGTTTGCAGTGTTTCGGCGACTGTTTTCAACCTCGTAACGTTTTGATGACGTTTTGATGACGTTTTGTTATATTTTGGTCAAATCCATTTTTCAAGTGTATACTTTCTTTTGCTCGTCAGTTCATATCGTAAACAACCCTATTCAGAAGTAGGTGTCAGTTTGAACGTCTTTTAGTATCCATTATACATCACTGATGAATGTATCATGGATAAAATCAGCTTTAAAATGCGACTTAGCTTTGCGCAGTACTGTAGTTGAACTGACCGTCCCTGTCAATTAGTAGATCCTTAGTGATCAATTACTAGTCATGGCTGCACGGATCTCGTAAACACATCCATATCAATCAGTGGTCCCTGTGTCAGACTTATTAATTAGTCACGTGGCCAGCCAGTGGTATTAGTTGTTTGTGACTCTCATACTTGTTTACGGTTTTTTCACGAATTCTTAACATGTTGTACCATACAATCTATTGAGGAGTGTCTGTTTTCTTGCACCGTTGACCCACTGACTTATATAGTTGTACGTACCACGTGGAAGACATGAAGGAAACGTTAGAAGATTTTACTAATTTAATAAACTATTTCGGATACAATTGCCAATAATTTTTTTTTCCTTTATACATCACGTCTTCTGTGAGTCCACCTTTGGAAAGTAACAAAACGATTCCAATAACACATTGATACGGTAATAATTGTTTCGTGGAAATTGAAATATACCGTCACTGTAAAGAAATACAGACAATGTTGTACATATATACAGCTGCGTTATATATACATTTTCCGTGCAGTCACAAAGTTGTTGTTCTTGAACAAAACTACGCATGTAATACGCATCGAGTGAGTGAGTGAGTATGGTTTTACGCCGCTTTTAGCAGTTAGTGATATATCCCAATAATTAACTGTACTGGCACTTAGTCAGCACTTAAAGAATACTTCTACATTTAAAAAAAAATGATTAAAAACCTTTAAAGCAAAAATTTTTTTTTCGCATAATACACAACCGCTTAGGGCTTCTTAGAATCTTATCTTTGACAACCAATAGTGTTTCTTGTTTGTTTACTAGTATATGCAGCAGCTAACGTTAGCACAATATACACAGCCCCGTTCCTCAAAGCGACACCCGTAAGTCAATGATAATGCACAGGAGTTACGATCGTCTTCAGAAGCTAAGAAACCTTTATGGAACCGGGTCCAGATAACAGAGCATAACACAGGTGTGAAGAATTCGATCCGTTACTTCTCGCCATCACTCACAGTAATTATTACACCATTTCTTACGAACGAGACTTTCCCCCGATGAATTGCATTTGTTATATGGCGCTTTGCAGATTTCCGTCGCTTGACATAAGGGCAAAATGTCTAAGTGAGGCTTCAGGCTAAATATACTCAACAACACATGTTCCTGTGACACCAATATTTTAGTGTATTTTTCAAACAAGTAAAGTTTGGTTTTCAGCATTGTAGTACATGTATGGAATCAAGTCACAAAAACGCAACTGCTACAGACAAGTATGCATTCCATGCAAAAGTTGACTTTTATGCAAGCCCAATGCATTTCACTACCCAAGAATGGGTATAAAAACATGTGCGTTAACGGGATTCCATATGCATTGTTTAGCATCGTGCTGACAACAACCACTCAGAAAAACAACAAAATTACGCAATTATGCAACATTACGAAATGCCACGCCTGTCCGAAAATGAGCCTCTGCGAGCCATTGGTATGCTTGAAGCAGGATCGAGACAACGTGATGTTGCAAGACAATTTAACGTCCACAGAAACACCATTTGATGTTTATGGCAACGTTGGCAATAGACAAATGCAGTCAGAGACCATCTTCGGAATGGCAGGCCACGCGTAACCAATAATCGACAAGACAACTGGATTCGAACAACACACCTACGAAATCGATTCCAGCCAGCAACAGTGACTACAAGAAGCATCCCTGGCCTTCGACGAATATCTTCACAAACCGTACGTCGTCGCCTCAGATGTGCAGGGATTGTCGCCAGAAGACCCGCCATACGTCCCATTTTGACAGGAAACCACCGTCAAGCACGTCTACAGTGGTGCAGACAGCGTCTACGCTGGCCGGCCATGCAGTGGGGACAAGTTCCATTCACTGACGAGTCTCGTTTTCATCTCAGCCTCAGCGATGGACGGATTCGAGTGTACCGACGTCGAGGCGAACGTTACGT